CCCCTTAAAACCTCGAATGGGAGGGCTTGGATCCCAAGTCCTGTCTAGCATGCCTGCAACCATTTTCTCTTAATAAAGGATTCCTGTTGGAAGAATTATTCCAAGAGTTCTGTCTTCTTAAGATGCAAAGAGGGGTGGGTCCTTACATTAGACAGGACTTGCAAAATTAATCCACCTGGAAGGGAGACCCTTGCCGGGGGGATTTTGCAAAAATTTACCATTTCAGACAATGGAGCAAGAGAGGGGGAAAACTCCCTGGAAAGAGAGCCGCTGACCCAGTTGGAACCTTGCCAGATGTTGGGATCCGAGAGGCCAGATTCCTCAGAAGAAGAAGTGGTGGAGACACAGGACCACAAGCCTCGCTGGTCGATGGACGTTGGAAAGAAAAGTGAGTGGAGAAAGGAATCAAGAAAGGTGACCCTGAGACGGGGGACCAAGCAACCAGAATGGAAGCAGGAGATGGAGAAATCCCTGCACGCAAGTGAAGAGGGAGGAAGCTGGGCACCGTACTCAGACTGGATCCTAGAGAAAGCTATTGACCTGATGAAGAGAACTCTCAGCTCCCTAGGAGAGGAGAATACTGAGCCCTACGGCCGCCCCAGTTCCTGGAGCCACAAAGGGAGAGACACCGAGGGGGACGTGGAACCTGCAACCCCAGGGACATCTACTGATCCAGGAGCCCCCACCCCCTACCGGACCACAGATGGCAATCTGGACGGAAGACACTACCACCCACAACGGAGGCACCGATCCATTCCAAGACGTCCACCGTTGGAGGTGAAATTCAAAGGGGAGCCAACACGCTTGGGGTTTTTCCTAACCCAAGTCCTCAGCTACATGGAGGAATATGGGCAGGACATTCCCCAGCGACAAAGCCCGCATCCGGATCGTGCAATCTGCCCTGGATGGACCAGCTGCGGATTGGGTAGTGAACTTGCATGACTCCAATGCCCCAGAACTCAGTAACTTCAACCGTTTCATGTCCTCTTTGAGAAGACGATTTGAAGACCCCCTGGCTGATCGCAAAGCCCGTGAAAGAATAACAACGATGAGGCAAGGCAAATGCCCAGTGGCTGAGTATACACAAGAATTCCGGGCCATTGCCAGCAAACTGAATTGGCCAGAAGACATCCTCCTTGGCCATTTCAAAGACGGACTAAACTATGATCTATATGATGCTTGCCTGCCCCGAGGGGACCCACATCAACTTGAGGAATGGTACGTCTTGGCAGAGGAAGCAGAGATCGACATATTGAAGAGGCACCGCCGAGGAAAACAATGGAGCCGCCCCCCGCCTGAGCTGACACACCAACCGGTGAAATCATCGGATACAGCCAAGAAGCAAATGGGGTGTTTCAAGTGCGGAAGAGAAGGGCATCGAGCTGTAGAATGCCGCTCAAAGGCCCCCCAGCACAACCCAGACAGATCCCCAATCAACAAACCCGGAAAGTATTCAGCTAAGCCAAAAGAAACAGCCATGAGAATGATGGAAATTGCAGAAACCCCCACCTCTGCTCACCAAGGGGAAAGAACTCCAGCCTACACCACAGGGACGGTGGATGCCTCAGATGACAGCTCGGAGGGCAACCCCTGGTAAGTGGATGCATCACACCCATCTTCAAAACAGTGACTATATTAATCCCCCCCATGCCCGAAGCTGTGAAGGTGAAAGCCTTAATAGACTCTGGCTGCACCCGCTGCCTCATTAGCCCAACACTAGTGGGGAATCTGGGCATCCCATCCAGGAGACTGGAACAACCAATCTCATTTGGCCAGCTAGATGGATCCATAGCAGGGGGGGTGCCAGCTACCCTAGCCACTCTGCCAATACACCTCTCCCTGGGCAACCATGAAGAGGACTTAACGTTTGTGGTGACCCCAGGTATGGAATGCCCAATGATTCTAGGGATGGAATGGTTGAAAAAATGGAACCCCTGGGTAAATTGGAGGACGACAGAAATCAAATTCCCGAAGGGGGACCCTATGGACTTAAAACCCCAAGGGAGGCTACCAGAATCAAGAATAGAAAAAGCATCCATAGGAGAGGAAAAAAGATTAACAGAAATACCAGAGGAATATAGGGACCTTGCTGAAGTCTTCAGTGAGGAGAGGGCGAATGAGCTTCCCCCCCACCGACCCACAGACTGTACCATTGAATTCAAGCCTGGGGCAAAACTCCCGAAGCCCAGATTATACTCCATGAGCCCAAAGGAGAAGGAGGAAATGGAAAGATTTATAAAAAAAAACCTGGAGAGAGGTTTCATTGAGCCAGCCAAGCCTAAAGTGGCTGCCCCGGTCCTTTTTAGAGAGAAGAAGGATGGCTCTTTACGTTTATGCGTGGATTATAGGGCCCTGAATACAATCAGTGAAAGCAACCTATACCCGCTGCCCCTCATGAAAGACATGCTGTCACACCTATCGAAAGGGAAAAATTTTTCTAAACTAGACCTAAGGGAAGCTTACTATCACGTGAGAATCAAGGAAGGGGACGAATGGAAGACTGCATTTAACTGCCCCATGGGGTGCTATCAATTCAAAGTCTTGCCATTTGGATTACAAGGGGGCCCTGCAGTCTTTATGCAATTAATCAATGACGTTCTAAGGGAGCACCTGTTTAAGGGGTCCTTGTTTACTTGGACGACATTCTTATCTTTACCGAAACAAAAGAAGAACACGTCAAACTTGTCAGAGCGGTTTTAAAGAAGCTGCGAGCCGCTCACCTATATGCCAAACTCTCAAAATGCGAATTCCACCAGGAAAGGATAGACTATCTAGGCTATCGCATATCCCCACAGGGCATTGAAATGGACCCGGAGAAGGTCAAAGCAGTACTAGATTGGGCACCACCCCGCACAAGAAAGCAACTACAAAGTTTCCTGGGCTTTGCAAATTTTTACCGCCAATTCATTCCCTCATTTGCACAGATAGCCTTGCCCCTCACTAATTTACTAAAAACGAAGGAAACATCCTCAGTAAAACCTAGCCAGCCACTAACATGGACAATGGAGTGCCAAGCAGCGTTTGAGAGACTAAAGAGACTTTTTTCTGCCGAACCAGTACTAAGGCACCCAGATATGGACAAGCCCTTCATAATACAGGCAGATGCAAGTGATGTGGCAGTGGGGGCTGTGCTATTACAAGAAAATGATGATGCAGTATTGCAACCCTGTGCATATACATCCAAGAAACTCACGGAAACAGAACAGCGCTGGCCCGTATGGGAGAAGGAGGCTTATGGGATACGTTGGGCATTACTCACGTGGCGACAGTTCCTGGAAGGCAACAAAATCCCCTTCCAGGTGTGGACCGATCACAAAAATTTAGAAGCCCTGAAAACGTCCAGGAAACTCAATCCCAAACAAGCCCGCTGGTCTCAGCATTTTCACCAATTCCAGTTTAAGCTCAAACATTTACCAGGGAGAAAGAACTTCCTGGCATATGCTCTATCTTGCATGCCTCAATATAACAGCGCACGAACCACAGACTCTAGAACAATAATGGCAGAGTCACAACTGGCAGCACCAGTAACCACAAGAACCCAAGCCAAATTAAAACCACAACTGGACAGCCAAACTGGAATTGAATTCAGAAAAAGTTTGGAAACAGATGAATGGTTCCAGAAAAACAAAAATGTGTGCACAATGAAAGACGGGTTGCCTTGGGTAGGGGAAAAGTTATATATACCAACAACTCAAAGAGTAACTTTCATGCACCTTTGCCATGACACAAAATCAGCAGGGCATTTTGGATTTGTAAAAACTTTACATTTAATTAAACGGCAATTTTGGTGGCCATCCATGAAAAAGGACATTGAAAGTTATATAGCCAGTTGTCCAAAATGTGCCACGGCAAAGAGGTTGCAAGGGAAAGTGCCAGGACTATTGCAAACAGTGGCAAGTCCCTCAGCCCCCTGGAGAGAAATAGCCATGGATTTTATAGTGGAATTGCCAGAAAGCAATGGGAATACTGTGGTCTGGACGGTCACGGACTTGTTTTCCAAACAGGTGCATTTTATCCCTTGCCAAAAGATTCCCACTGCAAAAGCCTTAGCAAAACTTTTCATCCAACACATTTACAGATTGCATGGGGCACCCCAACGCATCATCTCTGACAGAGGGGTGCAATTTACGTCTGCATTTTGGAAGGAATTTTTATCCCTCTTAGGAACCACTCAGGGACTGACATCTAGCCACCACCCTCAAGGAAATGGGGGGGCTGAAAAAATGAACTCCGTACTTAAGCAATATTTAAGATGTTTTCTTAGTTTCCAGCAGACCGAGTGGGCGGACTTACTCCCTTTTGCAGAAGTTGCCTACAATAATGCAGTCCACTCCAGCACAGGTTATACTCCTTTTCAAATAGCCACCGGTCAAAGTTTCAACCCTATGCCAGAATTAACCCCAAACGAACCAACGATCCCTTCGCTGAAAGAATGGATGGAGAAACTACAAAACACCTGGCCAATAGTCAGAAAAGCACTAGATGAAGCTAGGCAGGCATACAAAACACAAGCCGATAAAAAAAGGGTTGAGCCTACACCATTCATTATAGGAGAAATGGTGTACTTATCTACAAAATACCTAAAGTCCCTACAGCCCTGTAAAAAACTTGGACCAAAATATATAGGACCTTTTCCAATTAAAAGAATCATAAATCCAGTAACAGTAGAATTAGAATTACCCAAAAATCTCAGGCAAATACACCCAATTTTTCATTGCAGCTTGCTGAAAAGAGAGCATCAGTCACCTCTACAGCCAAAAATCCCCCCACCACCACCTCCACTCATGGTGGAGGGTGAACAACACTTCGAAATAAAGGAAATCCTTGATTCTAGGAGATATCATGGAGCAACTCAGTACCTAGTTGCCTGGAAACACCTTCCTCCCTCACAAAACGAGTGGGTCCATAAACGTCATGTCAGAGTCCCGAAGCTATTGAAGAAGTTTCACACAGAGTATCCTAACAAGCCTGACTAAATTTTATACTTGTGTTTTTTTCAGGTGGATCTCTCTTATTTTTAAGAGGGGCCGGATGTCAGAATCCAACTATATTTCATATTTAATTATCAAATATAGAAACTCCCAATTCTGCCTTCTCTGGATTCTGCCATAAGAGGGAGAGAAGGGGGAGAACAAAGGGGCTTTATGGCCCTCACTTCCTTCAGTAGACTTCTAGGGAGCTGAATGCTGAATGTGTGTTTATTATAACCTCAAAGCGTTAGCACCAAAGAACATCACCATAACAAAGAAGGGTATTTGCCTTTCATGTAGTTATCTGAAGTCTCCATCCAGACGGAAGAAAGCATCAAAGGGGTGGAATTGTGATGCCTGAAACTATCACTGGAAGGGGGGTTGATTGGGTGGGACTACTGTGGAACCCTTTAAAACCTTGAATGGGAGGGCTTGGACCCCAAGTCCTGTCTAGCATGCCTGCAACCATTTTCTCTTAATAAAGGATTCCTGTTGGAAGAATTATTCCAAGAGTTCTGTCTTCTTAAGATGCAAAGTGGGGTGGGTCCTTACACATAGCTTACTCCTGAATAATGAGATTCCAACTGAGATCTTTATTAAAGCCTTTGTATATAGAACAGATAATATTTTCCCTGCTCTATGAAGTGCAAGTAGAAGTTAACTTCCCAAGAATTATGATTCTATTTAGTAACAGAGTGGAATATTAGCAGTAAGTACTAAGAGTGGCTCCCAATGAAATGTAGAACATTGCTCAAGAAAAATCTCAGATTTTATGACCAAAAGGCTGACAAAGATAATTGAATAGTTAGTCATATATTCTCTTGGGTGATTTTGATACTTCTTACAGTATTTGGGAAGCTGCCTTCAATATTAGAATACAGAAATAAGTATGCTAATTCCTAAAAAATGAGCAGGATGATAGCAATGCAGAGACACAGATGAAAGACTTTTGCTTTTCTTAGAATCGAAATATTGAGACTTTGAATACTGGGTGCCAGCTATTCTGTTTCTCACTGAAGACCATAGCTCTGCAGCTCATTGATTTTGAATTTTGATAATTTATTTATATTCTATTCTCTTTCAATTATGAAGGCTCACAGCTTGCCACAAAGCCCAGGTAATAAAGAGGGGAAACTGTGAGATTTTCATTGGAGTTATGTATTAAATATTAATAACTTTTTGGACCCTGACATCATTGTTAAAACTGAATCATTGTTTGCTGAAAACACTTCTTCATCCTTTAAATTAGAAACCTTCAAAAGAGGCTATTCTTATTAATATTCTTGTTGCTATAATAAAGACACAATGAATTATATGCAATAAATATAGTTTCTACCACTTGGAACTGTTCCCTGGATAGTAGTGAGACCAATCACAAAATGTTTCTTGAAATCATTGCTGCTGCCATAGCTATTATTTGCAGTAATTTCAGATGGAGACATCATGTGGTAGTAGCTGTTGCTGCACTCCATATTGATGTAAGCATTAGATACATCCCACAAAAAGAGTATTGAAATCTCTGCTCCAGAAGGACTGTTTAAAAGGTTACACTGAATATTCATTAGAATTGCTGAGACTTTGAGTCCTTGGAGGTCTATCTTGTTAGATGATAAACAATGTTGCATAGTCTTCCAAGCTCTTTGTTTGGCCATTTCCCTAAACCTGCCTCTTCTTTTATGAATATGTAGCCCTGACAAGCATTTCTTTCAAACAAGGATTGGGATTTATGCTCCTCCAGGTAAGGAAGGAAGCATATGCCTGATGCTGTGTGAAGCATTTGACAGAAGTTTGCAAAGAGTATGACACAGGCAGAGCAGAGCTGTTATACCCTTCAGTAAAATAGCAAAAATACAGGTAATCTTCAACTTACAACCACAACTGAGACTGTTGTTGTTAAGTTGGTCTAGTCATAAAGGGAGTCACCATGAGACCAGAACTAATTTTATGACTATTTTTACCATAGTTGTTAAGCAAATCATGCAGTCATTAAGAAAATCCAACTGTCAGAAACTAGCTAGGAAGGTCACCAATTGTGATAACCTGACTCAGGATGCTGGAACTGATTGTAAATACAAGCTGAATTGCAGTTGTGTGACTGCAGGGGTGGTGCAGCAGACCTAAGTGCAATAATAGGTGATAAATCACTTTCTTGAGGGCATGACATTACAATTTTTAAATGGTAGTAAATTGAGGATTATCTGTATAGAATCGGTTGCCTTTGAAGCAAAGTTATCAACTTTCTGGAAAATGGGACTGCTTTAATACATTGAGAAAGATGTTTTCACTTATGCATTGTGCTCTGCAATATGCATGTTTATACTTAACCTACAGATTTCTGACAATGGAAGATTTTTGAGAGAAGCTAATAAGGAAAGGACTGCCTCTTCTTGCTGCTTTCCCAATTTCTGTGCATCTTTGTCTCAATGCCCCATCCTGTAGCATTTGAGAGTTAGTAGATTTTTTTTCTGTTACATGCACTGATGTTTAGCATGAATAATCTCATAATATTGAAACATTTCATCTGTCTTATGGATTCAAATTTTATTTCATGATTGAAATAGAAATAAAACATTTTCTGGACTATAGGATTTTAATGTACAATAAGAGCCCCCCGCCCCCCCGATCAGCTAATCCGAAGTGCCTAAACATAGTGATTTTTTTCTTGTACGCTTCCAGGAAAAGCCCTTTGCACCTATTGTACCTGTACCATTTAACTATAGCCTTTTGCTAGCCTAAGCTCTGTCTTTATTTTTGTGTTTCCTCTGCTTGCAGTTATGCCTTGCGGATGGACTAACAGTATTAGTCCATTATACCATAAACAAAATGATGCCCCATTTCTTCCATCCTCCCCCATATACCTGACCAACCCAAGAGGTGTCCGAGATTCCTGTCCATTTTTGTACAGGTACATATGAGCTAGTTTCCTCATTTTAGAAGTGATTTCCTCTATTACTTTACCTTGATCATCTATTTGGAGGCAGAAATTTGTAAGATTAATTTTTCTACACAAACCTCCTTCTTTAGCTAGCAAGTAATCTAAAGCCGAGCAATTCTGATATACTGTTGTTCCTAGTTGGATACTAGTCTTAGCAAGCATATCTAAAGTTGAAGCTGTTTCATTAGTAACAATCTCCAATACAGCTTGCAATCTTATTATCTGAGCATATATAAGTATATATATTGGGGTTTGATAGCCATACATTCCATCTTCTACCCATGTGGCTGGTTCATACACTTGTATAATTCTTTCTGGAGGCCATTCTTCTTCACTCCATTTATTTTGACTTGATATTTGTATACTTCGTTTTTCTCTATTACCTATCTCATCATAACTGGAATTCCTAGTTTTTCTCCTTGTTGTATTGGGAGAAGGAAAAAACTAGGTTTAATTGCACCCAAAATGCAGGCTCCATTCCACCCTTTGGGGAATATTGCATAAGCATATCTCCCACAAATCCAATACATCCCATCAGGTGCTTTCCATTTTAAAGAAATACTATCTGGGCTAACCCATAGTTCCTTCAGTTGGGTAATATTTTCAAAAGAGTTGGAGGACTCAATTTTATTTCCACTACTCCACCAAGTCCTAATAGGGTTGCTCTCTACTGTTCCATTTGTCTGTATCCCATTTTCCCAGACCAACTGGCCTACTGGGATATTGAAATCTGCAGATGCTTCCCTTATAAAACATACTTTGCCTATTATAGACATTTAGGTAGTCCACCGAGAAGGTCTATCCCATGATGTCCAAGTGAAATTCATCTTGGTTATGCCAGAGAATTCTATCTCTCTTGTCTCCCAGAGCCATTGTTCTCCCATATTAATGCCACCACATTGCAGTTGGTGACATTTAGTAAGTCTACTATCTGTTCAGCCAAACCAATAAACAAATTCTTAGTTATGCTTGGGATCTCAATTTTTGTTGCCATTTCTTCATAGAAAGAGTAGAAACGTTTTCAACATTCTGGAAGCACATTCAACATTCTGGAAACACAAGCAATAGAACACAGTCAAACTAGAGTCTTGGATTTTAAGAGAGCTAACTTCAATAAACTTAGAGAAAGCTTGGGAACAATTCCATAAATGAGAATCCTCAAGGGGAAAGCAACTCAAGAAGCTTGGGAAATTTTGAAAAATGAGATAATAAAAGCCCAGTCTAGCACAATACCAACCAAGAAGAAAAAATTAACAGCTCTTAAAATAAACCAGCATGGCTGCATAAAGAACTCTCTAATAAATTAAAAGATAAAAAGGACAAGTATAAAAAGTGGAAAGAGGGGCAAATAACTAAAGCAGAATATCAGCAAATAGTCCGAGCCTGCAAAGATGAAGTGAGGAAAGCTAAGGCTCAAAATGAACTAAGGTTTGTAACCAAAGTCAAAATAACAAAAAAAAAAACATATAAAAAACAAGAAAAAAGTTAAGGAAATTATTGGTTCATTAGGTGGGGGAAAGTGGCAAGAAGATGACAAGCAACAGGGAGAAAGCAGAACTATTTAACTCATTTTTTGCATTTGTCTTTACGCAAAGGGAAAAAAACAGTCCAACCTATCAAAAACAGTACCATAAAAAATAGATTAGAAACACAAGTTAAGATAGGCAAGAAAATGGTAAGTGAGCACCTATCCAGCCTAGACGAGTTCAAATCACCAGGACCAGATGGATTACACCCCAGCGTTCTCAAGGAACTGGCAGATGTGATCTCAGAACCACTGAACTATATTTTTCAAAGATCCTGGAGCACTGGGGAACTACCAGAGGACTGGAAAAGAGCTGATGTAGTTCCCATCTTCAAAAAAGGGAAAAAAATAGATTCAGAAACTACAGACCTATCAGCCTGACCTCAATACCTGGGAAGATTCTGGGAAAGATAATCAAACAACAAATCAGCGAACATCTAGAGGCAAACAAATTCATTACTAAAAGCCAACATGGGTTTGTCAAAAACAGATCATGCCAGACAAATCTTATTGCATTCTTTGACCAAGTGATAAAATTAGTGGACCAGAGGAATGCTGTGGATATATTTTACTTGGACTTCAGTAAGGCATTTGATAAAGTAGATCACAACTTACTACTTGATAAGATAGA